AATATGTGATTAATAGACGAATCGTGACTGTCTCTTATACACATCTAGATGTGTATAAGAGACAGCATTTGCCGTATAGTATTTGATATAAAGGAATCAAAAGAGGATTATTAATAAGTTGTGTAGAAACTTTAACAAATTTATAAAGATAATAATGATAATAATATAGGCCTAAATATGGTGTTAAAAGGGTCGTTTAATGTTACCTTCAGCATCTAACTCATGATACGTTCTCCAAAAGACAACGATAATTAAAATCAACGCTTTTTTAAGGATGCATCCAAACTTTGTTGGTAGGTATGTCATGCTTGATTTTGTTTCCCTGATGAAAATTAAATACAATAAAATATAAAATTTCAACGTATAACACAAATTGACTTTCACCAAACATTATAAGTTCCTTACCAGATCTTATTAGGTTTACGTGTTCCCACTGCAAACATAGAGATGTGTATAAGAGACAGCATTTGAGGTCTTTGAACCCCCAGCAAGAACATGTCTGTTAGATAGATAAAATAGAATTTTACTAAGAAAATGTCTGTGGACATCGAAAAAACACTTGATAATATAAGGCCAAGCTTTTCAGAATTTGTAAACCTCAACACGGTCAAAAGTGTGACGTCAATGAAAATAATAACAGTATTATTATAATAATGCTATTAAAAATAAATGAATTGATGATGATAATGATGGATCATAAGAACAATGACAATTAGCAATAATGATTCTGTATTTAGCAATAATAATAATAATAATAATAATAATAATAATATAATACTACTACTACTACTATTACTACTACTACTACTACTACTACTACTACTACTACTACTACTACTACTACTACTACTACTACTACTACTACTACTACTACTACTACTACTACTACTACTACTAATAATAATAATAATAATAATAATAATAATAATAATAATAATAATAATAATAAAATAACGATAATAATATATGATGATGATAATAATGCACGTATGAACACTCAATCAATCAGGATTTCATGATTTAAATTTACTGTCTCGTATGCATTAGTGAAATATACCATTGAGGTATTTATTGCAGAATACATATTAATATAAACCGCACGTCTTTAAAATCAAGACAAACAGTTTTTATTGAATGAATCAATAACTATTGAAATACATCTTTCAAAATCAATATTTTCATAACCAAAACAACCAATTCAAAATTAACATCTATTTTGCTGCATTCTTTACCTCGCATTATTTATTTATTGACAATTACAATAGGATGCGTGTACACGATTATTACAACACTAAGTAACGACACAGAGGTCAATCTTTAGCAAGTGAAATTTAAAAAATAATAAAAAATAATACGACCGAACCACATTTGTTCACTCAGAACTTTTAGGTGATTAATTCTGCTTCGGATATTACAGCACAGTTTGATATTGATATCACAGAATATTATTGATATCATAACCTTTTAAGGTTTTGCTAATGCTTTAAATACATAGATCGACGAAGGACCAAGAGAAAGACAAAATAAATAATTAAAAGACATTTTTTTTTTTTTTTTTTTGTTATTTTAACTCCAATTATTAAGAATCTCTGACGTCTCCTTCGCTTTTCTTATTGCATTTTGACATATTTGAACATTTTATTACATAAATAAATAAAATTTAAATTAATTTGAATTTAATCATGAAAGCACTATTGAATGAATTACCTTGAATGCATTCGTAATCCACTTCCGTATATTTGTGGGTGCCTGGACAAGGGTCGCCATAACTGTTCGAAGATCGAACGTCACATGTGGTTTTATCGTTGCATTGGTCAGCAATATTGTGAATCACACTAAAGCCACAGTTAGTGCTTTGGACTGCTGAACTTGCACAATATACATTTCCAGGCTCGTACCGACCGTACCTTGCTGAGACAACTTTGATATGATGTAAGTAATTGCATGTTAGGCGTCCCGTGTGGCCTTCGCATATTATTTCCTTTACAATACTGCCTATAGATTTTATTCAATTGAAAATTAATAATTATGGTTATTTTCATGTCATTAAATGATAAATAATAATAGTTAAATAAATAAATAGGTAAATAAATAATAATAATAATAATAATAATAATAATAATAATAATTATTATTAATAACATTTCTTCGACATTTAGACTATAAAAACTTACGTATAGTATTATTATTATTATTATTATTATTATTATTATTATTATTATTATTATTATTATTAATGTTACAAAATAATAGTGTATTCATTTGCCGTATAGTATTTGATATAAAGGAATCAAAAGAGGATTATTAATAAGTTGTGTAGAAACTTTAACAAATTTATAAAGATAATAATGATAATAATATAGGCCTAAATATGGTGTTAAAAGGGTCGTTTAATGTTACCTTCAGCATCTAACTCATGATACGTTCTCCAAAAGACAACGATAATTAAAATCAACGCTTTTTTAAGGATGCATCCAAACTTTGTTGGTAGGTATGTCATGCTTGATTTTGTTTCCCTGATGAAAATTAAATACAATAAAATATAAAATTTCAACGTATAACACAAATTGACTTTCACCAAACATTATAAGTTCCTTACCAGATCTTATTAGGTTTACGTGTTCACACTGCAAACATAGTACCAAACACCTATACACCTGCGTTATAGGGATATTATGAAGGGATCCTTGAAATAGTTTGATTTTCTCTATGTTTAGAAATGCACATTCCTGCCTTTTGAGAGGTCTGTTAATGAATTGATTTATTCCTAATTTCAAGAATTCTCTTGCATTATAAAAAGACGAGGATTATGTTCATGACAATGGTGATTGATGATGATAATAAGGATGAGGACGATGATGGTGATAATGATGATGATTGATGATTAGCTTGGAACCAGAGGGAAGCTTATAATGTGGTGGTACGAGGATTTGCTTGACGCAGTAGGGATGGAGTGTTATCAATGGATGTGTGCTGAGGGGCGAAGTGTCATACAGGGAGGGGAAACACAAGTAATACGGTTGTTTTCGGAATGAAGCTAATGTGTGAATCATACGAAAAATTCTTTATATGTTTTTAACACAAAAATTTAAGGAGCTTGATAAATCGAATATAGAATCCAGAATATGTGATTAATAGACGAACGTGATGCTTATTCATCCAAGAAATAAATGCAATGTAGGCCTAAGATACTTTAATAACAATCACTAATACCAAACGCAATATATATAACAATGAATTGAACATTATCTACAAGAGTTGCCGGATATGAAATCGTAGAACGGATATTAAAGTAAATGAAACAATACATTAATTTCATTCTTTGCTTTTCCTATTTTCCCTTCTGTTTCATCTCATCTTACAACATAACGTAATACAACATACAATATATATGACAATGACTTGTATATTTACACTATTTTATTATTTTGAAATAGAAGTGATTAAGGATAAATTGAGAATAACAGACTGTTAGGATTTGAATTACACTTAATTTGCTGTCGAAATAATAAAAATAATGCTGCATTTGTTCTCAGTAGAACTCTACGAATTGGTTTCTGGGCAGTTTAATTTATTTTTGTCAATTCTTATTTATTATTCCTTAATGGTTTTCAATTTATAAATGTATTACAGGCAGAAAGAAGGTAAAATGTATTAAAGACAAGTCTTCGCTGACAAGCCTACCAGAAGACAGGTACATAATAGAGCATTAAGATACAGGGGTTTTTGTGAAAGGGTGGAGGAGGTGCAATTTTGGTGAGATATGTTTTACGTCGGCCAGAAGTCCTAAAAGAAAACTATTTGATTTTTTAGAGGCTCAGATAAATACTACAACAACAACAACAGTCGCAAAAGCAACCATAACAACAACAGCAATATAACAACAACGACGACAACAACAACAAAAACAACAACAATAATGCAATATAAAACAACAACAACTATAATAATAATAATAATAATAATAACAACAACAACAAGAGCACTCAGTAGAGAGCATATCTCCGCCCACCGCAAAACCCCCTTACTGTAAAATAAACCTCCCAAAAAATGCTACTAATTTACTTCCACCACTACCACCCTAAATCACTCCATTCTTCTTCAAAACGCACAATAACTCGCAAATCTCTCACTTTAAAGAAAAGTTACACTAACACGAAAGTTTCACGTAGATGAGTTGATTAGAAAAACATCTGCGATATTTTACTTTGAAGGGTCTATGTCTATCGGCTCCAAAATAGGATCAGTTAATTTTTCGAGTTCCTTCCATTGTATCAGTCGTACACCTGTCAATGACTTACATGTTCTGGTTTAACATACTAGCACGTTTTACTCTTTATAGTTGACAAACAAAGTGCATGCAATTTATTGGTGTTGAAGTGAAAGTATTTTGGAAATAGAAATTTGGTTTTTAGTGTCACATATTAAAATCTAAAGATGCATTAAAAGTACTCCTAATAAGTTCCGAAAAAAGTGAAGTTAGAACGCTGTACGCATTTACTGTAATTGAGCTAGTTTAAATATTCATCATATACCTACGTTTCAGCCACGGGTAATACGGTAAACCTTTCTTTAAATGGTCCTCATACCCACACCATACGTCGGATCGTGACCAAAATTTAAGAATTTCTTTTCAAAACATGACAAACTATTATGAAAAGCGTCGACCATTGATCCAATCAAGAGATATTTAGGTCTGGGTCCTGATGGTCCTCACATGCTCCCCCGTATTTGTATCGTGACCAGCACTTCACAATTTCTTCCTCGTAACTTGGTTAAACCTTTCACGAAGGTTTTAATCATATCATTTAATTATTTTTTAAAATATCTGGTCTGGGACGTTTTCCTTTGAGTGGTTCTCATATGCACCCCCTACGTCAGTCCTTTGGTTATACCAAACAATCCCTGTAACTGGCATTTAAACCAATGCAGCTGTTTTTGAGATATTTTGTACACAAGAAACACATAGGACCTCAACAATTTAAATGACCCTCTAGTTCACCCTCTAATTTGGATCGTGACCAGCGCTTGATAATTAATTTTTTTTAACTTCTTTAAACTTCCAGGAAAGTTTCATTCATGTCAGTTGATTAGTTTTTGAGATATCCTGTCTAGGACAAATTCTTTAAATGGTCCTCACATCCACACCCTAATCC